AGCCCCCCTTGTCCCCTTGGGTTTGAGCCCCTTTGTGTGTCTGAGATCCCCCCGGCTCCTGTGGGTTTGAGCTCCAGGGTGGGCGTCACATTTGGGGACGTGCAACCCTGGGGCTGTGCATCACCCTTGTGGCATTTGGGGAGTGTGGTGCCTCCGTGGGCAAGGTGTTTCCCCGCCCAGGAAATCAGGGCGAGGATGAGTGTGGCAGGGAGGAAGGTCGAGGAAGGCACTGGGAGGAGTGCCCTGCGTTGAGCTGAGGTCTCCCCACCAGCCGTGCGGGGAAGGGGTGGCATGGGGGCCATGCAGCGAGGACAGGGTTAAGGACAGGTTGATCCCCAGCGTGGGACGTGGTGACCTTGCTTTGCTTTCAGAGACTGGCTGTGGCCGAAAACACACGCTGGCGAGCAGCTTTTCTTCCTCCCCTCTCCCTTCCAGTTCACATCCAGACCTCCCGGGCTCTCATGGTGATTTCTCTCCTCCTGGGCTTCTTCGGCATCATCGTGAGCGTGGTGGGCATGAAATGCACCAAAGTTGGTGAAGAGGATCCTGTTACCAAGAGCCGCATCGCTGTGGCTGGAGGTGTCCTCTTTGTCCTCTCTGGTAAGGCAGCTCCAGCCTTTGCACCTCTCTGATGCAGAAGACCTCAAACACCTCGTAAAAGCTCTTTGATGGAGGAAGGGGAGAGGTCTGGGCATCGGCTGTGCGTTGCTGATGTTCAGTGTTTGATCTCTAGTTGCAGATGTCCCTGCTCATTGCAGGGGTTGGACTAGATGACCTTTAAAGGTCCCATCCGACCCAAACCATTCTATGATTCTGTGTCCAGGTCTGTGCACATTGGCTGCTGTGTCCTTGTACGCAACGCAGGTGACCTACGAGTTCTTCAGAGAGAGCACCGTCCCCATCAACGCCAGGTAAGAGCCCAGCTCAGGGGATGCTCTGTATCTGGATCCCACCTTGTCCCTGCGCTTCTTATAGGACCTTCCCATGCCGGCTTTGGCAATGCGTGGGGTTGTAGGCACCTGAACCGGGCAGCCGTGATGGGACCTGTGCCACCCCACAGCTGCCACGTTGCAGAAGATCTCCTCAATGCTAAAGCTTCAGTCAGTACCACCGCTGACTTCATGCTGGGACAGAGTAGGAGCGCTTAGGTGGAGTTTCAGTCCAAGGGAGGCTTAAAGCACGGGGAAACCTAGTAGCTGGATCCATCCAACGTGAAAGGTGGGGATGGACAGAGAGAAGAAGAACCACATCTGCCTCAATATCATCCGTAGCTTTGTCAGGGCTTTGAGCATCTTTGTGTCCATCTCAGTCAACACTTCTCCCTTTTCTGCTCTCCCCTCCCTGATGCTACCCCCTCTCTCTCTCGCCCCAGGTACGAATTCGGCTCAGCTCTCTTCA